TATATTAATTTTCTTTTATTATATCCCCTAAATCCTACACAATGGGCCTCAAGACTTTTACTTGTAGTGAAGTATTTTTCATACTTTTGTTTTTGTGCTTTTTGTATTGATGATTTAAAATCATCATGAAGCACATATAAAAGAAAGAATATATAGGGAAATAAATAAACCATTAATTTATAGATTTACCCAATGCAAATTATGGCAGAAAAATCTATGGTGGAAAAATCTTTTAAATTCATTCTAAGGCTCCAATTAACAGTCATTTTCATTATTTAATTATTTGCTAATTAATATTTTCTTGATTAAGTAATTCATTGTTGGTTCATAAAATGTGGGAAAATATCAGTTTATATCAGTTTCAGATGCTTTGTTTTGTACAACAGTGTCCAAGATCCAAATATTCCCAGTTTAATATAATAGAAAATTGACACTGAAACACTGATTCTTGAAAACTGTAACAAAACCTTTTTTTGTGGTTTTTGATTTTTACTTTACAATTAGGCTGGGAAAAAAACATATTTAAAAAGATATGTCTTGATAATTAATCCTAGTAATAGGCCGACCTCCCAATGATTTAATTATTTTTTTGTTGAACAGCGTACATGATGGATGTCTGAGATGAGATCTGATGAAGCTAATGTCTGAAGGAGTTGACGGAAAGTTATATATTTATGAATTTCACAGCAGTCATAGTGAGTGGCCATTAAGTTCTCTTAATATTAATCAAAATACTCATTTTTTAACTATAATTCCTACTTCGTTTGGATTTAGACGGGCTACAGATTTAACATGTTATGGCTTAGACAGATCCGACAGCAATATTTTTAAATAAATTTATCAAAAAGTAGAAAGAGCACCAGTACTTGAGCAGCATTCCCACCTTTTTGAAAACCAGGAAGTGAGACAGGAAAACCCAAGCTCTATGAGAGTGGGTGATATTACACCAAAACAGACACAGCAGAGATCAACAAAAGTTGAAAATTGTTTATTAAAAAAGAAAAAGCTTCAGCAGTCACAAAGTACAGACAGCTTTAATGATTCCCTGCTGGGAATATGAGCCCATAAACAATGCAGCGACTCAGGCTGATATAAAGGTTTGTTAATCTGTTTGATTGTGATCTGAAGTTATGTTTAGTCTTTGGTTTTCACAGGAATGTTGAACTGGTTTGGTCCAGTTTGTGCAAATAAAGTCACAGATTGGGCAAAGAATGATTAACGTTAGCAGCTAAAAAGATCCTGAGTTCCTCTAAAGGTGTACTGTATGCATACATGTAAAATGAAATGTGGAGTGTGTGTTTTCCTTCAGACGTATCTTTCACTCATGGTAAAACTCTGGAGTAGTAACGATGTAGAAGCTTGAAACATCCATCAAGACATTATTGTTCATTAAATAATGCCCATAGTAACCTCCTTAAGCAATCACTCATACTTCCATAATCATGTTCAACATATAAGATAAGTTAGGAGATAAGTTTAGAGACTGACACACTTTCTAAAGGCATCCTTCACACTGACTCACATCTGGTAAGAATTTTGATCCTCACGAGCTCACAATATAGACACTGTTGTAAACCTGCATTTCTTTTTCTCCTGACTCACTCCCCTGAATACTGTCCCCACCGTCTTTTGACAGTTTCTATTATTTTTGGCATTTTAAACGAGGCAACATAAAAAGGCACAGAGCGATGACAGAAGGCACAGAACCATCCTCTGGGAGCAGAAACAGGAGATAAACAATCAGAGAACAAAGGCATTCCATCCTCCAGTCTGCTTCCACAAGGACATTAAGACGACGTTTGCTAATAATTTATTCATATAAAATAATGTGATGTAGAGTCTGAGCCGTCAGGTGAGCTCAGTCTGCCTGGTTTGTGGGAGCAGGAGAGCCACGAGTCCTCCGGTCAGCAGGAGAGCCGACACCAGCAGCACTGGCACGGCGCAGTTTGTGTCCACCAGCTTTCCAAAGGTGATGTTACCCGTGATGGCTGCCACTCGGCCCACGCCGGTGAAAAAACCGAGAGCAGAGGACCTGATGGAAACAGAGAGGGTAAGAAACACCAGGATGTGTGAGCAGCTGTGGGTGTGTCACACTTTCCCCAAAACTGTGAAGACTCCTGCTGACTTACTCTGATGGTTTAGCTGCAATTTTTTCTGTCCTTTGTTAATGCTGACAAAACACATCAAATAGTTTCTTTTAAATGGAAAAAACAAAGTACTGTATATTCATATAAGGCTGAAAAAAACAAAAAAAGTAAAGAACAGGAAGCAAACATATTACATCATTGGATTAAACATAAAAATGTCAGTAATATGATTCAGTAGAAAGGAACAAAAACATGGGAACATTTAACTGAATGTGGTCAAACTCAGTCTGTAACAGTGGTTCCCAATTTTTAAGCCTTGTGACTTCTTATCATGAGTTCTGTCCTGCTCTAAACATGAGTTGTTAGTTCACCCAGTTGAAGCATTTTTTGGAGGTCTGTAGAGGTGAAAGTGTGTCACAGGGAAACAAGCTCAAATTTGGAAAAAGTCCCACCCCTGGACGCAGACTGGCCAATCAGACGGCTCAGACCAGGGTCCGACAACAACACACCCGTGCTCCATTGACTCTAATGCAGTCGTTTCAGATTTCCTTCATTTTCAGGCTGGTTTTGTGGATTTGGAGCTAAATGTTGTTCCTGGGGCACGTTGTGTATTAATGATACTCGTTACCTGGAGAGGTTGGAAAAAGATAGATGTTTCTTCCCTGTTCCAAAACCAAATCAAACCCTGAAAAGTGTAGGGTTAGCTAGCTAGCTACTGAAGATATAACATACTGAATGTATACACATGCTGCTTTTGGTTTTTGATGATTATAACAGTGAAACAAAGACCGACCCTGCTGTACAGGAACCAGTGAAGGGAAGCAGGGAAACTTTGCTGACATTCAACCAGCTGTGTGTCATCACAGTGTGCGCAGAAGAAGGGCGTTTGCCTTTCCCCAGAGAAGGTGGCAGAGGTCCAGGTGCTAGCAGTGGCACAGGGGTGAAGCCAAACACCGTTCATCTGCACACACTGTGATGCCACACAGCTGGTTCAATATCAGCAAAGTTTCCCTTTATATTCATTGTCTTGTGTGGCATCAGCAGTGATGTGGTGGTTCACTTTTACACTGTGATCTGTAGCCTATAGTTAGGCTTTAGCTTCTAACTATCTTTGTCTTTTTAACCTGTTGTTGCTGCTGAGTCAGTTTGACATCCTGGATATATCCTTCAAACACAGACTGTAGACCCCTCTGCCTGCTTCTCTCTGGAATCACTGTTTCATTTCTCCAAAAATATGATAACATTTCTTCAGGGAGTGCAGTTAGTTACAAACAAACCTATCTAAGTAATTAAGGATCCAAAATTGACAGAGAAATCTAAACGGCCATGTTTGAGCCACTTTTATGGATTCTAGCTAAACATACATTGAGCTTTAAGAAAAAACAAACTGACCGTAGCTGCGTCGGGTAGAGCTCTGTTCCAATCACGTCCAAGGCGTTCCAGGCAATCACTGACACGCCGCTGAAGACGCAAGACAGGATCAGACTCTGGACTTTGGTTTGGACCACATAAATGAGGAAGACGCTGAGACTGGACACCACCAGGCTGAAGGCTGGAGGCGCAACAAAGAAGAGATTTTCATTCAAGGACTCAAAGACGAGCACTGGCTGGTGATGTGGACAGACTCCTCTTGGCTGCATGAAAAAAGACCTCAGCTTAAACAGACTCACACAGCAGAGCTTTTCCTCCAGCGCTGTCCATCATAAGAATGGTGAAGATGTTTCCTGGTAGGTTTGCTGCGGCAATGATGAAGCCCTCCATGTACACTGTGAGGGACAGAAACAGGAAGGTAATGAAGAAACATCCATAAGTTGTTGTTTTTTTATTACCAGCTCATCTTGTGGGGGAAAAATAGATACAGCGTAGTATGGCGACATTTTGCGTGGCAATATTATATCGATACATGGACACCAAGTATCAGTCTTGTATTATATACATCATTAATTTCTGCAAATACGCATTTTAACACAACTATTGGTACTAGAATAATAAATCAAGCTTTTTCAGTCCACTAGATGGCGCTGATGCTTTTTTCCTGGTGAGGTCATCAGAGGTCTCAGTCAGCGGCATTTAGCAGGAAGTTCATCAAAACAAGGACGGAGGCACCGGAGAAAGAAATCAAGAGTTATTGGTCATATTGCTTTGGTTTTAAGCAACGGATTGTATACTGTACCAACACCAGATTCTGTGCTGTTAAATGATGAAAGATTGTTGTGTCTTCATTGGCGTTCAAATCAAATGTCTGGATTTATTTTGGATTTTTTAACACGGATGAAAAGGAGGACTCGGATATGACACATGCGATTTACGTTACCTCTGAAGCGGTCATTAAGTCAAATTATGTGTCCATTTGTCTATTACCCTCTAAGTTAGTCATATTCTTTTCGACCTCCTAGAGTCCTCAGATCAAGAGAATCAAAAGGGTTTTTTATAAAAATGAATCCAAGTTGTGACTATTGTTTTAACAGGATAAAGTGGTGTTGTGTCGGTATGACGGGTGTTGTATTTTCCATCTTTGCTGAGCAACAGTTTTGTGTGAAACAAATTAAAAGCCTGTCCCAAATATAGGCCTGTTGATTTCAGTGATTTAACTAATAATAGCCCGGGCTACTAATTGAAGTTTTACAGACACAACACATTCAAATCTAGAGGCAGTTTAGAGTCTCAAATTCAGAGAGGAAACAATAAACTGAAAAGTTCAAGGAACACATCTTTGGGGTTGAGTCTGATCTGGTGCTTTCTGTCTCCAGATGCAAAGTACCAAAGTATTTGGTCTTACAAAAGAATAACAACATTTACAGAGACAAAAAAATGAAGTGACCTGCATCCACCAGTTTAAAAATACCCTGAGCACCTTTTGTCTTGGTTCATTTTTGTCTCCTCTGTGTAGCCATCTTTTACTCTGGTGGTGACATTATAGTTTGTTTCAGTCTCATTATACTTTAAATGTGTTTAGTTTTATTGTACAGAGGAAATACGTATGTCTTAATGATCCTTTATTCTAATCTCTTTCTCAAACATATTTATCTTTGACTGTTATAAATTTGTGCTTCATGTTCAGCTCTGTGTGTTTGCTGACTGCAGTAAAATCTTTGTGTTCCTAGAAACACACCTGCCGTCTTCACTGGGTAGCAGCTTTGGTCGTGGAGAGGAGACGTCACGGACCCGTTGGCACAGGGAGAACCACCGTCCTCAATTCTCTTAAAGAGCTCCGGGAACCACATCCACAGACCGTAGTACCTACACACACACAAACATGCATATATTTAAAGAGATTTAAGTATTTAAATTAAGTTACAGTTCAGCTTCAGTTGTTAAGTTTTTAAATGTAAAACTTCACTGAGACTGCAGGTCAATATAAAGCATCACAGACACGTTGGTGAAGTTGAAGTCGTTTTCTAACAGTTTTTTCAGACATGATTTCTGTTTGTTGGAGATATATATTTGCAGCTGTTATCTCTCTCTGCCGTTTAAAGCTGCAGAGCTCGGGAAGTGATAGCCAGGCAAGAGAGGGGGCTGGACTGGGTGAACAGGAAGTATCTATGACATCAGAGTTGGGCTGGGCAATATATTGATATCAGTATATGAGACTTGATGTCGTCTTAGATTTTGTATACTGAAAATTTTGCCTGCTGTACATTTATCACATCAGTGGTGATAAAGCACACGAGATGAATCCAAGCCCTGAGCTTTTACACCATTGCAACAACAGAAGCGTAAAGGAGAGCTCCAGTTTCACCTTTGACACTCCTGAGTCTGTATTTAGACATACAGAAGGGATTTCTTACCCGAAGGAGATGCAGTAGAAGATGATGAGCAGAGAAATGCTCCTGCATTTGAGCGATCCACGAAACATCTGTTTAATGGGCACCAAGGCCTGTAAGTCAGACCAGAGAAATTAATTAAATGACAATGACAAATATCAGTAATCAAGGAATAACATAATAATATAGCAGTATGAGTAACAACTGTGTGTTTGAAAGGGTGGATTACTGAACAGGCAAAATGGACAACTGCCCACAGGGTCCTCTAAAGTCCTGCCTCTCAAATTTGACGATTTGCTACTTTCAGTTCTCTGAATATTTTGTTGGAAGAATACAGGACATATTTTATTATTTACTGACATTTTGCAGAAAAAAACTATAAATTATTAAAGTAAATAATGAGAAGATTAATTGACAGTGCTGTTGATAGTGAGGTGAAGCCCTACAAATGTGGTCAGGCAGTATTACAGCAAGTTTCACCCTGAGGACCCACATCTGGTTAATCTAGCTGCCCTACTTAAAGTCCTACACAAACACACAACAGTAGTCCACTATTCCAAATATGACAAGATTCCTTATTTGACACAGCTACTGTAAACAGCATACTCAGTTAAAATATTCTGAATTAGGCCTTTTTCCTAGACCTCTGAGATATGCTGGTATTATTGAGGTTTTAGCAGCATTCTTTGGACATGTATCACACATTTGGAAGATGTGTCTCAGCTGTGGTTTTTACCGCAGTTTGCGACACACCGCTTCTTGTCTGGTCACAGTCAGCTCTGTTGTTACACAAACCAGCTCACCTAAAGCTGAGGTAGAGATGCATACCCAAAAGACAAGCCTACATTTGTGGTCGGAAGCAGAAGCACATCTACTTTTAAACATTATAAACATTCAAATATAAACAGATTTTTGGGTTTGTGCAAATATCGTCGACTTTTTCAAGAAGGTGGTTGTAGGAGGCTGTATTTGCACTGCGCAACAAGTTTGCAGACGGTGGAAAACTTTGAAAATATCCTATCATGATGCATAGAAGCAAAATGGTGCAAGCAGCTCTGACTGTTTAACTTTTCTGTATTTTGACATAAAAAACATGTCAGAGCACATTATTCAGAGTATGCTCAGCTGCATGCAAATGAGAATACTAGTGGAATATTAATTTTCATTAGCCATGTAAACAGCTGGCATCTCACCTCAATGCATTCAGCTGAATTAAAAAAATGTGCTCTGACAAATTTCTGCAGCTGTCCTCTGTCTCAGACAACCTCTAAATATCATCTCTGTGGACGTGGAGTTCTTCTCTGTTAGTGACATTACCTTTTTCAAAATACTGGCGAGTCTCCCTCCACGTGAACCACGACCTCTGGTCTCCTCCACTTCCCCTTTTTGCTTTGAGCTGGTGCACAAACCAAATTCCTTCAGAAGAGTTTGAAATTAGTCGTCACACTCACAGTAGATCATTACACTGTAGAATGAGGGAAGGAAGTGGCAAAGAGAACTTGCACAAACCACAAACAAATAATCAAACTTTCATTAGAAACATAACTTCCCTTCGATTTCACCTTTTGCTCTGTTTCTTTGGCTCGTACTTTGTCATTTCAATCTCTGTCTCTTACCGGTAAATCCTTTCCCTTCCTCCATGTGTTCAGCTTAAACATCACTTGGAAGACGTGGATCGCCTCTGTCTCTCGGCCAGCCTGGGAAAGGCAGGACAAAAGTCTCAAAGACGGCTCAGGAGAAAACAAAAAGCAAGCTGCAAACACAGGCACTATTGTGACCTTTAAATACCTCCATGAGGAACTTGGGGCTTTCAGGCATGAGCAGCTTGAAGAGAATGGCTGACGTGAGGCTGGGAACAGAGCACAGCACCACGAACAGTCTCCAGCTCTGAAACTCCAGTGATCCCAGTGAAAAATGTGCCCAGGTTCTTGGAATCACCAGCCAGGCAAGACCTGCAGACAAGATAGACACTCAGTACACAAGGCTAGACATTTTCCATGTCAGGACTCAGAACTCTTTGTTTTATTGTGATAGTGCCTGCCAAGAAGTTCATGCTTTCACTGCAAAGTCTAAATCTTTGTTTTTTAAGGATGTATTCAGGTTTTTTAAAGCGAGAACAAACTAGTTAAACTTTGTATAAATGTACTCCTCTTGCCCAGAAATTGATGTTAGCGAGCCATCTTCAAGGATGTCTTAATCTCTAAATGCATCCTGAGGAGAGAGGAGGCTTGCCAGAGAAGCTATGAGCCGGCTTATCCTTTGTGGAAGGCTTTTATGGCACTCTTGGCGTATAAAAGATGGGTGACACAGCTGCCAGGTTGTGAATTTAATCAAAAGTAAATATATAAGTTGTTACAAAGAATGTTGCGCTCATCTGACAGAGGTCATAAAATACAACGGTAGGCTATAATAACAATACAATTGATACATGACGCAGCTGTGCCACGCATTTTATTTAACTGAATTTGCTTTAAAATGTCAGCGCCAAGGCAAGTATGTCACGTTTTGTTAAACCCCCGTTGTCTTGACTCATTTCACCTTGCGTCTCTTCTTCACCTCCTCTGCCTGCATCTTAACAAAACATGGGCAGAAAACTCCAGTGGCATGTTTCAGCTTTTGGGAAAGACCAATGAAACAACACCCTCCTGTGAGAAAATGGAAAGCATTAACGTCTAACCGTCCGATGCTCTCCATGACAAGTCACAAGTTCATCTTGGCACACTTAAACAGAGCAGAGCCATCATTGATGATATTTGTAGCATCTGTGCTTTTCTTGCTGCTGTAGGACAAATCAAAATGTCCGTCATTAAAAGGGCGACTGATTAATCAAATCAGATTTAAGTTTACCGCAAGTAGGTTTTCACATACAAGGAATTTGCTTTGGTGTTTTGGTGCATGGACAGTAAACATAACTATAGAACAGAAGAAAATACAGTAGAAATATGTATAAGATAACTGTTCAAAAATGAAAGCTAAGCAGGAACGTGAAGAAACATATTTTAGAGGATGTGCAAAGATCCAAGTATTAAGAAAAGAAAATGCAACGTACAGAGATACAGACCCACAGATGTGTTAATCTAATGCATGCAGACAGATGTGGAGTCATTAATGTAACATGTAGCAAGCTATTAATGCAAGATAAAGCACACTAGATGTTAGCATGTGACTGAGGTTTGTCCTGTAACCAGTGGTAGCAGCACTTGTGTTTTTATCCTGCAACACTGACACTGTTATATTTATGTGTCTTCCCACCTGCAGCCAGGATGTTTCCTGCCATCCAGAAGGTGGCCAGAGCACTGATCATTGCACCTCTCCTCAGACGGGGCATAAACTCTGAGAAGTAGGAGAAGATAACTGGGATCGACCCGCCAACACTGCAGAGGGGAAGAAAACAGCTTTTAATCTTGAGCTGTCTGCAACTGTTTACTTATTTAGGAGGCAAATCGTTACTGTGGTTGGTCTTATGAGGACACTGCAGGTAAAGGTCACACTTTCACAATTTACCACTTCATAACTTCCAGTTTGCTTGACTCATATTTTCCATCACCTACACCTATGTTTTGCTTCATGTGGGTGTTGTAAGGAAAAAAACACAACCTTTTAAATGCAGTGTGACCTCATTAAGCAGGGAAACATACTTGAATGAAGTTTGTTTCCCTGCTTAATGAGGTCACACTGCACTGTGTGGCTGTCAGGTACACAACTTGGCACCCACATAAAAAAAACTGTAAAACATATACAAATCACGTGCTCACCCGATGCCGCTGATGAACCGCAGCAGCAGGATAAGCCAGAACCAAGGCGCCACGCTGGCCAGACCTCCAAACAACCCGTTAATTGTCAGGGACACAATCAAGACCCTGCGACGCCCTCTCTGGTCAGCCAAGTATCCCCACATGTAACCACCCACCATCATTCCTTAGAAACAGGAATAAGGAAGAAAGTAAGACAAGACAACAGCATTTAGCATTAGCATTTAGCTTGAAGCGTTGCTGATACTGCCGACACTGGTATGGCTGTAGACTCTTGTTTTCTTTTAGTGTTGTTTTCGCAACTAGACTGAAGAGTTCAGCCTCATTCGTTTTTTATTCAAATGTTGGCAACATTTTTAAAATTCAGTGTCAGATTTTCTACACTGCACCATCATGCTCTGTTTGTAACTGTTTTTCAATTCCCCAAACGTCATCGTGGGCTCTGGGAAACACATGTCAACATTTCTTTTACTATTGTCTTACATTTTATAGACCAAACAACTAATTGATTCATTGAGAAAATAGTAGATGGATTAATGGCAATAAAAATAATTGCTAGTAGCAGCCCTAGTATTCACAGGTGAACTGTACCTGCTCAGGGCTGCAATAAATGATTGTTTCATTATTGATTATTTTCTTGGTAAGTCTATAAAACATTAACATTTTTTGAAAAATGCCATTCAGTTTCTCAGAGGCCACAGTGACACCTTTAATTTGCTTATTTCATCCAACCAACACTCCAAAAACCTGTAAATATTCGTTATAAATGACAAAGAAAAGCAGCAAAATCTCTCCTCTGAGAAGCTGAAACCAGACGACATTTGGCATTTTACTAAAAAAAAAATAAATAACTGGAACGATCACCAATTGTCAAAAATAATTGCCGATTCATTTTTCTATCTGTCCACCACAGCTCAGACAGGATAACAGATTTATTATTAAATGACTGTGATTCACCGAGGAAGATGCTGGCAGTGAGCAGGCCCATGTCTGAAGAGCTCAGCAGCAGATCACAGCGTGCTGTTGGCAGCAGAAAAGACACACAGAGAATCTCCACGGCGTCGCTGGCATTGGCCCAACCACACACCACCAGCAGCAGCCAGTGGAACAAACCAAAACCTGAGAGCGACAGCAGAACAGACAGTGAGTAAACAAAGGGAAAAGTGATCCGTTAAGGAATCAACGGATGTCTTTATAGGCCTAATTTGGATATATTCAACAGTAATGTCATCTAGCTGCCCATTATAGTCAAGGGACACCTCAGTATTACATATCAGCTTTAAAGATATTGTGAAATCTAATGTGTTCGAAACTGAGCTTATTCCTTTCACAATAATGCATCCAGATTATGTTTTTAATATTATGTCATGTACTCTTTTTCTACCTCACCACTGTTAGGTCAAAAAGTATTCAGGGTGTCAACAGGTCCTTAAAGAGTCTTAAAATTAAATTACAATAAAGCCTTAAAAGTCTTAAATTTTAATTTGTGAGGTCTTAACTGCCACAAAACATTTTATCTAATTTCATTTATAAATTTTTTAATTTCTTTTGTGAAAATGAGTGAAGTCTTTATATGTAACAGTCCACATACAAATCTTTAAACTATAAAAGTCATTTTACGTCATACTTGCACTTACCTGTTGGCAAACTGTAGATTGACTTAACTCACTCTAATAACCATATTCCTACATAAAAATGACCTCTGCACAAGACCACAGATATACTACTTGATTGCAGTGCTTACCTGTAATTCTTGAATAAGTCACAAGTGAATTGTCTAAAAATCTGTCCTAAATTTGGTTAAAATGCATCTTAAACGTGTGTCTGACAAAACAGCAATAATACTTGTACTTTTTAGGATTATTATTTCAGCATGTTTGCCTTTATTAGACATGACAGTTCCAGAGTGAAAGGGGGACGACATGCAGCAAAGGGCAGTGGCTTGGAATTGAGCCTGCAGCTTTGTACACAGGGCGTCCGCTCCAGTAGTTGAGCTACGGAGCGCCTCCATTTTAATGTACTTTTGATGTTTAAGAGCAACACAAAATGGCCCAAAGTAACAAGAACACCATGAAACTTTATATTACCTGCTTTCTCCACTGCTTCCTCATATGTTAATCTTCTATGTGGAGCATCACCAGCGTCACTGGTGGTGTTTGATACACTCCTTTCGAAAATTACTTCACCTGAAGCAGCAGCAAAAACACATACGAACAGGTCAGATGAAGGATGATTTCAGATGAATAACTTCAAACCCTAATCCTCAAAGTTAGTTTAATGACAGTTGATGATTTTCAGAACACCAATTTACTATGAATTAACTGACAAACAGGAAATCTGAGGTCAGGAGGTATTCCAGTATAGGAGTGGTTTCAACATGTGCATGATACAATCAGCCACTATTTCTATAATTGATTAATCGTTTAATTCAATTCACTCTGGATTGTAAGCTATGTTGGCACTGTTTTATGTTTTTATTGAAAGCTAAAGGGGCAGTTTTTGGGTTCTGAGGACATTCAGGACTTGGCCAGGACCCCTGCAGGAGATTCTAAATCATTGAGACTAAAATGTGTACCTCAGAAAGTGTCATTTACTCTCCAACTGTGAATTGTGATGTTAAAAACAGAGGTAGCTGTTAGAAATCAGTTTTGAGTGGAAACAGCATGGAATCTGCTGTCAAACATGTATTGACTGGAGTTGTATTAAGTTAACAGTGGTGGAATATGTCACTTACGTGAGTATTTCCATTTTATGCTAGTTAATAGGGTACTCCTATTCCTGTTTCGGAGGCAAATATTGTACTTTTTACTCTACGACAATTTTTCGACAGCTTTACTTTGAAGATTCCGACTACTAATAAAAAAAATATAAACCAACTAAAATGAGCTCCACCTGTAGCAGCTGCAACATTAAAGTGACAAACACATTAATGCATCAATAACTATAACCCAAAATAGAATATTTATTATTCTGCATAATGAGTACTTTTACTTTGATACTAATAGTCCTACTTCTTTGTACCTTGGATGATATTTTGAATGCAGGACTTTTACAGAATATTTCATTAAGATCTTAGTGTGCTGCCTCCTCCACCACTGTAGTTTACTGGAATATTATATGGGCTGTCTTTCACTCCCACACAATTTTCAAAGTTCATGCGGTGTAGCTGATACATGACCTGCTTATTTTTCCATCATTTGCTGGTCTGTCTGTCTTACTGCTAACTCAATTATATGCCTCAAAATTGTACTTGAGTAAAGTAGTTAAGTAAATGTAATTGATTACTTCCCACTACTTAAAGTAACTAGTAAGTAATCACAAATGCAGTGGGGTAAAAAGTACAATATTTGTACAAGTTTCTACAACCTTTAAAAAACTGTGTCCTCCTTTCTCTCTGCATTGTTTCCATTCTTATGGCTTATTTCATTTTTGTTTTCTTTTGTTGTTCTTGTTCTCTGTAAAGCGTCTTTGAGTATCAAGAAAAGTGCTATATAAATCCAATGTATAATAATAACAATAATAATAATAATAATAATGATAAATCCAATTAATTATTAATATCCATCCGTTTTCATCCACTTATGCGGGGCTGGGTCGTGGGGGCAGCAGGCCAAGCAAAGCACCCCAGACATCCCTCTCCACAGCAACACTTTCCAGCTCCTCCTGGGGGACCCCAAGGTGTTCCCAGGTCAGGTGAAATATATAATCCCTCCAGTGTGTTCTGGGTCTGCCCCAGGGCCTCCTGCCAGTGGGACGTGCCTTGAACAACTCTAACAGGAGGGGTCCAGGAGGATTCTGATCAGATGCCCGAACCACCTCAACTGACCCCTTTCAATGCGAAGGAGCAGTGGCTCTACTCTGTGCTCCCTCTGGATGTCTGAGCTCTTTACCCTATCTCTAAGGCTGAGCCCAGCCACCCCACGGAGGAAACTCATTTCAGCCACTTGTATTATTATCATTATTATTATTACCTCAACATTGTACTTAGGTACAGTACTTAAGTATGCAATTACTTTCCACCACTTCCTGGAGCTGACGCTTGGAGGGATCTTTTAAAGCCTGCACAATAATATCGACACGTCATCAGTATCAGCCAATATCGACTTTAAAATGAACTGAATTGGCCAACTTGCTTTTTCTTAATTTGCAAAATAAATGAATATTACATAAATTTAAATGCATCATTTTCCATGTCTCCACCTGCACGTGGGCAATCATGAAAAGAGTATGTATGTATGTATAATATAATGTTAATTCCCCTACAGAAGAGACTTGATGATCACTTAAATTAGGTAGGGAGAAAAGCTAATATATCGATATCGGTATCAGATATTGGTCAAATGAGATGTTACATATCGGCAGAAAATCCACTATCATGCATCTTTATTGGGTAGAGTACAAGTACCTCAAAATTGTACTTAGGTACAGCACTTGAGTATGTACCTCCTTTCTACCACTTCCTGGAGCTGACTCTTGGAAGGATATTTTTAGGGATTCTCATCATCAGAATTGGCCAATATGGGCTTTAAAATGAACTATCAGAGTTACCCAACATGCTTTTTCCTAAATTGCACAATGAACGAATATCACATACATTTAAAAGCATCTGTTGGTGGGCCATCACGATAAGAGTACGCATGCATAACATGATGCTAATTCCACAACAGAGAAGACTTTATGATCACTAAAACTAGGTTGGGGAAAAAGTGGATATATCAATATTGGTATTAGTTATTGGTCAAATGAGTTGGCATATTGGACATCAGCAAAAACTCCAATATCATGCATTCGTGTTGGGTAGAGTACAAGTACCTAGAAGTTGTACTTAGGTACAGCACTTGAGTATGTGCTTACTTTCTAGCACTTCCTGGAGCTGACTCTTAAAGGGATATTTTTAGGGATTATCATCATTATCGTCCAATATCAGTAACTATAACAATCGGTCAACATGCTTTTTCTTAATTTGTACAATGAATGAATATTAAATACATTAAAAAGCCTTGTAATTCATGTCTCCATCTGCTGGTGGGCCGTCACTATAAGAGCATGCATGTATAATATGATGTTAATTCCACCACAGAAGAGACTTGATGATCACTAAAATTAGCTGCTGAAGAGTGGATCGCTATCGGTTATCGGTCAAATAAGTTGTTATATATTGCCATATTGGATATCGGCAAAAATCCAATATCATGCATTCCTATTGGGTAAAGTACAAGTACCTCGAAATTGTTCTTAGGCACTTTCTACCACTTCCTGGGGCTGACTCTTAGAGGGATATTTTTAGGGATTCTCATTGTCGGTATCGGCCCATACAGGCTTTAAAATGAAATATCGGAATCAGCCAATGTTTCCATCTGCTGGTGGGCCATCATGAAAAGAGCATGCATGCATAATATGATGTTAATTCACCCACAGAAGAGACTTGATGATCATTAAAATTAGTTAGGGAAAAATGTGGATATATCGATATCAGTATTGGTTATTGGTCAGATGAGTTGTTACATATCAGCATATTGGATGTCAGCGGAAAAAAATCCAATATCATGCATTCCCATTCAGTAGAGTACCTCAAAAATACTGATTAAAGCACTTGAGTATGTACTTTCGTTCCACCACTTCCTTAAGTTAACTCTTGAAGGGATATTTTGTGTATTGTTGGGAGTTAAATTGAGATATGGGATAACTTGTGTTGCATGATTACAGAAATAAATCTGCTTTGGTGCCCTTTAAACTAAAAAAAACCACTATATCTAAAATGTCATTGCATAATATACTGAATGTGTGTTATATGTCTGTGTGTCTGGTTATTAAATTAAACCTGAGTCAAACAGCAGTTAGTGATGAAGTGATGGAGTGTCAGCGACTTTTACCTTCATCTGAGTCCAGCTCGTTTGGCTTCAGGTAGGCACTGCTGAGGAGAGGCTCTCGCGCCTCCGCGTCTCCGGTATGCACGTGACGAGTCATCCCCACCAGCAAAAAAAAAAAAAAAAAAAAAAAAATCAGACGTCTCTATTTTGGGCACTGAACTGTGGTTAGATTAGCTTCACAAACCTGCTACCTGCTGTCCAGATCCATGTTACTGTTGGAGCCGCTGCATCGGTCTCATGACTGCCAGGCTAACGGCGAAGCTAACCTGACAAGAAGGAGGACCAGGAAGTAAAAAGACAGCGGCGTTTGGCACGTCCTCCCCGAGCCTCCACTCACTCTCCTGTGCCTGCGGTAGCTGTCCGGTCTTCAGGCTGACTCTTAGCACAACCACCACTTCAGCTTTACATGAGCACCTTTGACGTTAGCCGCTGAAGGAGACACGTCGGTGCCGCGCAGTGCAGAGCAGAGCCGGGGAGCCGTTGACGGTTGCCTCCCCTTGTGTATGTGTGTGTGTGTGTGTGTGTTTAAAGAAGATTGAAGATGGCGACCAGCTCGGAGCGCAGTCCTCCTCCGTTCCCCGACTCCGAGGACCAAGATGTGCTGGACACTGAAGAAGTCCGAGGCCGAGACAGCGATGAAGACGACGGGGACGAGGACCTCTTCCTGAGCGCGGTATGTCGTCCGAACGTTGGTTTGACGCTAAGCTAGCTAAGCTAAGCTAACTCTGATTTGGCTAACTGACATTAACTGACTAGTTAGCTAACGTCAGCAAAGAGAGCTAATGAGGCGCTTTAGCAAAAGTTTTGAGAGGGTGTCGACAAACATTCAGCTTGTTTTAGCTTTTAGGAAACTGAGATAATAATGTTGACACAACCAACTGTCATACCGGATGATATTTAACTTACAGCATTTACTCTAAGTTGAATAATCAAAGCAGTTTTGGGGGGTTTTGGTGCAGAAAACACACCTACCGTCACAGTTTGTGGCTTTTAAACAGCCTGTTGTGATCTTTGACACTGTTGCAAACGCCCATTTTGGTATTGATTTCTTCCTGAAAAAGTTGCAATGTGGAGAACTGGCTGACTGTGATTTGATCAGGTCAATTAGGACACAAAGTAATCTAATAAAGCTCCTATTTGCTTAACGATATGCGGATGTTTTCTGTGCACAATATCTCCAACTCCTCCAGGTTAACTTGCACTGAAATCTGAAGGTGTTCCTCTTCCAGATTTTGGGTGTGCAGTCTTTTTAGGCCATGCACAGGTAAAGCAAGCCCTAATGTCAGCAGGCTACAGAGACTGAGGTCTGTGTGGTTTGACACTGACAGTTGACATCATTTGGGAAGTGATTCTCGTATTCAAATGTAAAAGTGAGTGAAATTTCACTCTCTTTCTGAATGAGGATTAAAAAGCTGGCTCGTGCAGTCTCCTGTCATGTGAGTGAGCTCTGGTCACATGGTCAGAACCCGGATGTTTTCCCACAGTCAAAGTTCAGAGGAGAGATTGGAAAGTTGCTGTCTTTGATTTTTTCGAGCGCTGCATGGAAAACATTACTCAGCATGTTGTGGATGTTGTGTTTAACAGTGTAGCTGAAGTCATGTTTGGAAGTGGACCAGGCAGTGGTTATTAGTGGAGTCACAGTGGTCTCGTGCATTAATAAAGGGACATGTTTTACAGATCAGGGGAATCTGGGGAAAAATGTTTGAAACCTCAGGAAGAGCAACTGAGGAGGGATCCCTCTTCCAGGACGGACAGATGTGCAATAGATGTTGAGTCCACAGAACAGATCAACATGATAAATTAACAGTGATCCATATGACAAAATGATACATTAAGAGAGACAGAGACAGAGAGATGCACAGTAAACAGTCATGACAATAGCTACAATAACATTAATTTTAGTGATAATATTATTATATTAATAACAGTAATTGTGGTAGCATATGTTGTAAGTATATATTACTATATGATAGCATATGTATGTGACAATAATCATATGTGTATAATAACAGTAGAAGTATGACTAATAATAATAGCAGTAGTAGGAGGCATCAGGCAGGACCACGGCAGCAGCGTAACCACGACACGTGATCCAGGCGTAGCCACGATTCAAAGGAACCTGTGAGACAGTGGAGCACAAAGGCTCCAGAGAAGAAGCCAAGTTAGTGACATGCATGTTGTTGTTTTTTTTCACAGGATCTGGTTAGTGTAGGGCTGGGTGATATGACCAAAATCTCACATCACAATATAGGTCATTTCACATCCCGATAATGATACAAATCACGATATAGCACATTTTAATCCAATGAATAAAAAGTTTACCATAAAAAGTGTAATTTGCATCACAGCAATATAAACGATAGAGAAAAATATGAAACGATAGACATTTTTCTCTTGTCACATGATATATATCGTCATATTGCACAACCCTAGGTTAGTGCAGTGCGAATAGTTTATTTTTGGCAAAATTTTAAATGAGATATGTAGAAAAAAAGTGAGTGATTTTTAAGATAGACACCTTTGACTGTCACAAATCTGAAAATCCCACAGTTGTTTCTATTTTTATAGTTTCTGGTTGTTAAATGGTGTGATTTTGGTGATCTTTAAAGTAAACATGCCTTTTCAACCCGCCAGTGGGATTTAGGGTTTAGAGGGTATTTAAAATAAATAAAACCACAACCGCACCGGTGCATTAAGAATTATTTGATATGCCTCTCTGGTTTTGCACCACCCTCTTCCCCCTCCTAAGTAATGAATAGTCCCTAAAGAGGAACTAAATATTACACCCCTCACTAAAACACAGTACAGATAATTGTGGAAGTTGTGTTTGAACAGTATTATAGTGAAAATACATACATGCAATTTGGATGTAAAGACTATAACTTCATAACAAAGAGTAGGATTATGCTGCAACAATATTTTAAGAAAGCTGTATGGACAGTTTGATTTTTGTTAATGTTTATGGTATGAGGAAACGTCTTAATTCTGCTAGTTTGCTCTGTGTATCAAGCAAACCGGTGTTTCCAATGTTATCTACAGTGAGGGTGGACTAAATGAAACACCTCTCAGTATAACACAAAACAATTAAGCAGCACCACAAACTACAGTCTCAAGAAATGACCAGCAACTCTATAAAAGTTTCAACAAAAACTGAATCGTAAAAGTAAAGAACGTTTTATCGCAGGACTGTTGTGTATGTATTAGCATCATCAGCTAGGCATACCTAATACTCTTGCAATTAAGTGTAGGTCTATATAACTGCCTTCTTTATGAGCACTCGTCTGAGAAAGCTATTCCTGAAACATGATAAAATGTTTCAGCATGACATTGCTTTTTCTTCTGTTACAAGACACATACTTTCTCATTTCAAAGACGTGTTTTTGTTATCAGCTACACACCCAGTAGCCTTGAGTTAGATAAAAAAAATGTTTTGTTCTTGCATTCTCCACGGAAAGTAGCTCTTCCAAAAGAGTCATCTGGCGACTCAGTCCGGAATGAAGTTGAAAAATACCATGCAAATGAGGACAAAAGCAAACATCAGGCTGTTCACTCATAAATCCAGAGTGACATTAAACAAGCAGTCACATTTACCACTTACAGTGTCTAGTACAGCTCACACTTAAACTAAATTGTTTCTTGTTTGTTCCCCTTAAATCCATTAAAAGTTGAAGTTATTTATCAACAACCCAAATCACAAATGTGAAGTCGTGTTCTTAGTAATATTGTAGTGATAATACATGTGTTTTGGATGTTAAGAACATTAAAACTGGATACCAGAGACTTGGATTGTGCAACAGATTAATAACATTTTGGGCATTTTGATTTTGTTAAAGTTTACAGTATGAGTAAAATCCCTGTGTTAGTCATGGAAAACATATTACACAGTGAGGATAAAGGACTAGCTGATTAATCTTGATGGATTGATATAAAATTGTCAACTATTTAATAATAATCATCTGACAAGCAAACTCAATGGTCCCAGTTTCTCAGATGTGAATATTGCTGCTTTGCTCTATTTAGTGTGACTGTTACTGGATTCGGGATTGTTTGTCGGACAAAAGAAACTTTCAGAAGACATTACAGATAATTTAAATACTCTAAACAAAATCTTTCCTCCCTTATCTGCAGAGCGACCCTCCACTGATCGAAGTGGACACTACACAGCCACCTGCCAGCGATCCCAGTGATGTTACGACAGAGCCTCCCACCGACATCATGGACGCTCCACTAATCGAGCCCATCAGCAGCCAAACAGAAACCAAACCAGTGAGCGAAGTCGCCAGCGAACCCTCGGATGATTTCGTTGATCTTACAAACAACATAATCGACTCTCCCGATGAGCCAGTTGCAGCTGAAAGTGCCGTTGCAGACGCAGTGAAAGACACAACTCGGCTTCCTCTAGATGAACCCTCTGATGATTTTGAGGATATATTTGGAAGTGAAACTGAAGCGCCACAAGAGGAAGTTCTGGTAGCAGATGTTACCGTCGAAGCAGCAACCGATAAAAATGAAGTGACCAGTGATGTTACAAATCCACCTGCTGATGGGAAAACAGGAAGTGATGAGGAACAGGAAGCAAAAGAAACTTCCACTGATCCAATCCTCGACCTCAGTGATGATATGCCAGCCAGCGACACGCAACAGCCACCACCTGCCAGTGAGAAATTTGTCGACCCTTTGGTTGACCTCCTTAGTGACGCTCCACCCGTCGTTGAAGCCAAAATACCCACCCGGGCAACAGTCGACCTGTTTGAAGATGAGGGAAGCGACTTGTTCACAGAATCTCGGCAGACTAAACCTGCCAAGCAGCCACAGAAAAGCCTCTTCGGTGAACCTGATGAGGATCTGTTCGGTGAGCCGCTGGGTGCCACCTCGAAGAAAACCGTCAGCAAAGAGCAGAAGGACAAACCTGTCACAACCAAAGTTGCTGCTGATGTTAGCAGCACAGGGGGGCCTCTGCTGGAGAGCAGTCCTGCAGAACCCGCTGATATCTTCACTGAGGAAGCTGTCACCACAGTGCCCAGCGTCAAAACCACCAGCACTGTCAACTCCAAGACTAACGGAGTCCACTCTGAAGAGGAGACGGATATATTTGCAGGTGGGTCCACTATTTTTCTTGATATCTTACATTATTGGGATTTTAGGATTTGGTATTCTAAGGGGAGCATAAGGGTGCTTTCACACCTGCCCTGTTTGGTTCAGTTCATTCAAACTCAAGTGTTTTTTGCCCCCTAAGTGCAGTTCATTTGGGCAGGTGTGAACACAGCGATCACACTCAGGTGTGCACCAAGACAACTGGACCGAGACCTTCTTGAAGAGGGGGTCTCGGTCCGGTTACAAACGAACTCTGGTGCGGTTCATCTGTGGTGAGAACGTGTTCCTTCCTCGACCTGAACCAACTGCAGTCACATGACACATTGTTTGGGTTAAACATGAGCATGTTACAGTCCTGGAGTTGTCCCTCCATTGTGACATTAGAAAGTGTCACATTTATCTTGCAAGTGTACTCTTCTTCGTTTTGTTTACTTCCTGTATTTTTCTCACATGGAAATTCTGACCAATCAAGAGCAGCTTTCTTATGTTAGTCGTTTTATCTGGTCCGCTTGTAAATGCTGCCGTGAGAACACGAACCAACTCTAGGCTATTATACAACTTTGTAACAAAATAAGTCCCTGATTCAGACCAAAGGAAGACAACTCTCGGTCTGAAAGCAGCCATAGTGACAAAGGGAGTGTTCACATGACGCAAAAAGTCTTTCATTCAGACTCTCAAGTGTTTATCCTCATATTTCAGTTCATTTGAACATGGGAGATCAATTACACTCAAAGTCATGTGTGCTGTTTCTAGGATGAAAACAATTCTTTCTTCCCCTTCAACCACTCATATATTGTAGAGTACAAACACAAACATTACTGTCATTATCAGTAACACTGTGAAGAAGTACTCTTTGAGGAATTCAGTGAAATCTGCTGGCTTTTATTAAACGTGTGTGAAGGCCTGAACAACAAACAAGACTTCAGAATGCTAGGTTATGTCCTCTGCAGAGGGGTCAGACTAAGAAACCTTGTTTTTATCTTTCAGTTTACTTTTGTAGAGGATGATAAATTAACATCAAGTTATTCTTCTAAACAGAAACCAGTAGTAGGCGTCGTACTCAGACATTTACAAGCAACATCACAGTGTTGAAATGCTTACTAGAAAAAGTCCTGAATTCGAAGTATGAGCATGAAAATGTACTGAAAGTACAAATACTTATGCAGAATGATTTATTTTGTTTTTTACTTTTATTTTAAGTAAAACAAACACTCAAAAAAGTTTATTTTCAATAAGGGACTTATTGGAAGTAAAAACATAACCAGAACCAGCCATAATTTAAAAGCACCAGATGGTCATATTATGGCCTTTCAGTTTGCATTGTATTTTCCAGTGTTTATTTTTTGGAGGTATGTTTGCCGTTATTAGATAGTGGACTGTAGAAAGCTTTCAGGAAATGAGCATAGACAGACAGAGAATGACAAACAGCAAAGGTTCATGGTGAGATTTAAACCAGGCATTTATTTTATGGTCACTGTCTGAAACAGCCCATTTGTTTCCAGAGTGGGTTTGCCTGTTTCAGTTTAGTTCATATTGTTTAAAAATCTTAAGTTTTAAGTTTCAGTATTAGTCAGTAGTTCTCTCCAACACCTGCAATCCAACTTCCTTATAAAGTTCCCCTCTAACTGTCCCATAAATTAGGCACGTCAGTTTTCAGGTACTGGTCCACATGATTACCTGTGTTAAACTGTAAGCAGAAAAGACAAACTGTAGGTGTTCAAAGTCCATATCAGTGCATTCAGTTGCATATTTATTTGTGGCCAGGATTTTAAGTAAATAATGGTCATCTGTCTACACATTTCCATTCAGCATGTAATGACCTCAGTCTGGTTTCCCTTTTCTCTCTAACAGAAGCCACAGTGGAGCTTTCCCTCGACAGTCCACGGGACGAGAGAAAGAAAGATGCGACGGCCAAACCGTCTGCGTCCGCCCCCTCTCTGTCAGCAGCTGCCAGCCTGGCCAAGCCACAGTCTGCTGCCCTGGAGGAGGTACACAGACGCATATCTAATCCCAGAGCGAAATTCTCAGTGTGACTGCCACCAAGTAATGACTGAAAACTGTTCAAGTTCAGAGATTTGCTTCTGAAGTTTATCAGAATTTTAAGAAGAGTCAGTTGTTGAATTCGCATTTTTTTGGCACGTTTAACACCCATCAGAACAAAAGTTTCAAAATTACTAAAACAGTTAAGATTTCTCGCCCAAAAAATCCCAATTCTGCTGAAAGAAAATTAAATTGACTGTTTAATAGAAGTGCTTGGTGACAGCAGATTGCTGCGACTGGCTGTGATTCATTTTCTGTTTGTTTCAGTTGGAAGAAGAGGAAGAAGAAGAGCAGGATGACAAATTTGAGATCTTTGTCTCTGTTAAAGACCCTGAAAAAATAGGTGGGATGTATATTGTGTTATTCTCTTTTGAATAAAGAATATATTTTGGCGTATACAGGTCACTGTAATAAACTGGTTTGTGCATTGTAAACATAAAGCAAGCAAAGTTTACTCTGAGGTACCTGAGTCTTCGATTTGATCATTTCAAACTTGTGAATAAGGCACAGGAAACCAGAAGAGAAAGTAGTGACAGTTCAGCATAAATCAACTCACATGCAGCTTTATCCTTGAGTTATATTCCTTAAGTCTTTTTTTGTACTGACTTTAATTGTTGTTTTCTTTAGGGGACGGGATGAATGCTTACATGGCCTACAAAGTAACCACACAGGTAAATACTTGTCGATATACAGCATTCAACTTGAACTAAAGCTGGTCATCTTTAATCCAGAGGACGTTAGCACAGTTACTCATCAGATGTGTTGTAACTATGTGCCAAGAGAGGAAATGCTGGTCAGCATATTGTAAGAGGAACGCCCAAGCAGTGGTCTTAAGTCAAACCTAGATTATATCAGAATCTAATGGTAGTAATTCACCAAATTTCACCAATATTAATATTTCAGAGCCAACTGCCCATGTTCCGTAATAAGGTATGTACAGTGAGGCGACGCTTCAGCGACTTCCTCGGCCTCTACGAGAAGCTGTCTGAAAAACATGGACCAAATGGATACATCGTGCCTCCACCACCAGAGAAGAGCATCCTGGGTAGGCTGACTCGGATTTACTGTTTCCTCTGATACTCTAAATTTAAATCTAATCTCCATCAGCTGTAAGAAGGGGTTCTGTCTCACACAGGTATGACAAAGGTGAAGGTGGGAAAGGAAGATTCTTCTTCTGCAGACTTTGTTGAGAGAAGAAGAGGCGCTTTGGAGAGGTAAGAGAGAAGGAATGAAATTAAAGCTGTGTCAGAACAATTCAGTTACAAAACCATAAGCCCCATTTTTGCTGCCTTACCCCCTTGCCATGCTGTATAGGGACACGTACGGTAGTGGTAGTGACAGCACTGAAACGGTGTCTGTATAAACAGGACAGTCAGCGACACAGGTTTGACGTTTGGACAATGTATTATGCGTGCGATCCACCACGAGAGATTTAAAAAATACCTGTGAATAATCAATAAGGAAGAACAGCGACCATAAATGTCCGCATATTGGTAGAACAATGAGGTCCCGGGAGCTCCTTACCCTCCGACACGTTAGTGTTTACACAGCGCTGTCAAAGCATGTTTTATGTCACACTAGAGGGAGACACGTATGTGGTAAGTAACACGCCAGTCACACCTCTTTTGATTCCGCAAAGGCACGATGCAGTGTATAATCACACATTCGAGCGGAGTGAAGCAGCTGTTGTTTGGTTCTGTGTTAAATTGCAAAGGAGGCATAAAGAAGGGACTTCGTAGTGGCCTTATAGCGTAATCTCTGTGTACAAAGGGTTGTGGTGTTTTTGGCTTTTGTAGTCTGACTCATTGGATGTAGACTGAGGCTGTGAGCCTGAGATTGGCCGGCTTATTAGGTCAGCATTCTCCCTACCTTCTGCTATCTGTGTGTTACCGCTTTTTAAATCCCCATCACCATGGCAAACAACAACAACCTCCAAGCTTACAGCCTACGCACTGAAAATGGCAAGTTTTGACAAAGATTTGGATTGTGCAATAAGACCTGCATTGTTCTCAGAAATTCTCTCAGGGGACTCTCATGCCTGCTGTTTCTGACACAGCCAGTTGGAGTTGATTTGCCATATCTTTTTACCCTGGCAGTGGCATGTGCAACCGATGCTGACTTCACCAATGTACCGATCCATTTCACTTTACATGAGCTTCTGTGATATCACAACAAAGTTCAGTCAGGAACACTTAAGTCAAAGAAAACTTTATTTCCATTTGCAGCATTAAATTTGGTGGTATGGCTCTGTTCTGGGGCCCCTCTGCCTTTCCTAGGCCTACATAGAAAGCCTCTTCCACACACCTACATGGAAAGCCTAAGGCAGGGAGAGCAGCAGTAAAGACCCCCTGGGAACAGAACAGAGTAGCATCAATGACAAACAGAAATGACATTAATAAGTCAGACACAGCATGAAAAGGAGGAGCTGGGGTGGAGGCAGGTTGCAAAGCAGCTTGCAGAGGAAGCAGCAACAGTAGGCAGGCCAGAGCAGTTTAAACAGGGCGCCCTGAATGAGATTCACCAACTGGTTGCATAGAAAGGAATCATGTGATCTATCAGCTGACTCCCTTCCATCAGTCAGCTGCTCCATCAGTTGATTGGGCTGTTTGAGATCAGCTAATATAGCTGGGATGTGAGCTGAGCTTGGCAGCGTGTCCTGCCTGAACTAACGCTATGCTCAGTTTCTGCAAGAGCCACTTATACTAGCTCCAGTGAGCTCCTCTAGAGCCAAAAATGGTCAAATTTCACCTTTAAGGCAACGATAATCAAATTATGTTTGTCTTTTTTAGCACTAAAAGTTGAATGACATAATTGACAAATATCTGATACTGAGAGATATTAGAGAGAGATTTTAGTGACAGTGCTCGACTCCCCACATGCAAATGTTCCAATACCACTTCCCCTCTGAAACTATTTTGCAAGTGCCCTGCTGCTGCATCCTGGGACACCCAGGACGATTGTTATTAATTTAAAGAATTCAAACAAGCCAGAGCAGTTTTTACCCTACAGCAGAATTATAACATGTGCTTTCTGATCTTTCCATAGCACTGACACAACACTGTGGAGATAGGTCTGAAATTGCCCTACTCATAGAAAACATGAAACTGAGGCGCTTTTTTCCTCCCATTTGCAGGTATCTCCAGAGAGTGGTAAATCACCCGTCGCTGATCCAGGATCCAGATGTCAGAGAGTTCCTGGAGAGAGAGGAAGTAAGCTGAAATTGAGTTTGGAGACAAACATGTTCTGTGATGTAGCATGTGATAATTTTCTGATAAAATAATCTTTATGGCATCTAGAAATTATGTGTCTAAATTGAGAGAACAAGTCTAAGAGGGATGTATTATTCCCCTGCCATTTCATTCTGCTTGATCCCTTTGTGTATCTCAAGTTTTAGTATATTTTTAAGTGCAGTCTGGTTGGTGTTTGTATTGTAATAAATGTGTGTGTGTGTGTGTGTGTGTGTGTGTGTGTGTGTGTGTTTCTTCAGTTGCCCAGAGCAGTGAGCACCCAGGCTCTGAGCGGCGCCGGCTTTCTGAAGATGATCAACAAAGCAACAGATGCTGTCAGTAAAATGACCATCAAGATGAATGAGTCAGACGTGGTGAGTTCAGCTGTAAACAGACACTCTCGCTGCATCAGGGCTTCTTCAGAATGGAAACCGTTGAGAGCAGCAGATCATTTTTGTTATGAGGAAATCTGCGTTTTCCAGTAAAAAGCAGAACATTTCAAGCTCAGTCAAAGGCTGCCAGTATGGTCGGGTTGAAGCACTGAAAGGCACAGTGCCAAAACATTAGGGGGGGGTTCACAGTGGCCTGACATTTGTAAGAACATTAGACTGTTAACTTGTTTGAGTTTCATGATTCATCTGAATTTATTCCAATGAGAATTTACACATTTTTTCTTTTGTTATGACAGTTTTTATAATTAGCTTAAATGATCAGACACATTTTCTAGAGTTATCTGGTGGTTTTGAATAAATCTTTTTATGTCTAGTGCTTTTTTGTGTTTGCTGTGGTTCAAGGTAACATTTGGCATATTTATTAGATGGCACCATAGTTCACTAAATGCTGTAGACGAGGCAGCCAGTCCCTTTGATCAAAGACTTTGTTTGTGAAGAGCTGTTTTATAAAGACACTGACACTGAGTTCCTCTTCATCTGAGCTTAAAGTACCACACACATGCATTTATAGAGCTTATTCAGATATTCAAGGGAGACTTTATTCCAGCTGAATACACACAAAAAAAGATACGTACATTAAACTGCACTGGACTGGAGTGTTTTAAGCTCAACGCTTTTCTCTGAAAGCACCAAAGAGTCACAGTGTGCATACATGTATGATCAGGATCAGGGTTCTTGTGTAATTCTGGAATGTCTGGGAAAGTATTTAAACTGAATCAGATTCACGTGACTCACTTGTATACAAAAATTCTAATAATTTCACTTTAATAACCACAGAAAGGTTGAAAAAATCTAGATCTATCTATCCGTCTGTCTGTCTGTCTGTTGTCTTCAAACAGTTGTTTGATGTATCCTTAGTAACATGGCTTTGCAATATTATTGAGCTCAGCCTTTACTGGTGTAACAGTTGTCCTTGATAGTTAAGCTGTACTGACTAACTCTCTAACTCTGTTTTGCTGCAGTGGTTTGAGGAGAAGCTGCAGGAGGTGGAGTCTGCAGACCAGCAGTTCAGGAAGCTCCACGCGCTGGTGGAATCTCTGGTCGTCCACAGGAAAGGTTAGTCGTCTCCCTACCAACCAGTAAAAGATCTGCCTTCCATTAGTGTCGTAATTATGTTTGAGCCTGATTTTGAGCCGTGGAGGAGGATCATTCTGACACCAAGTTCTCATGGTGACAGACCTGGGCAATGTAACGACTATGTACGATATATCTATATATTTTCAAGCAAGATATAGATTTAGACTTTTTTCCAATAGTGCTTGTGACATCTCAAATGTGGCTTTGACTTGTAGCTGAACATGTAGTCCATTTCATAGAAAATACCGAGATATATAATTTGTATCGTCCCTCAGCCTGAAAATACAGAGATGTGAATTTTTGCTCATATTGCCCAACGCTATGGTGACATTCACAATGAGATCCAGTGTCCTTCACCATGACATGAGCTGGTATCAGAAACTGGACAGTATGGAAATATTTCAAAAGGTTCAGTGAACAAATTTTGACCAGATATTAGCAAGTTGACTTTGTGTATTATTTGGCAGTTGATGCTTTTCGGTCTCCTCAGTATGAAAGTATGAAACCAACTCTCACTAAAGCCTAATGGAAGCACTTTTTTTAATATAACCATCTCTTTACTTCTTTACAAAGTGTTATTTTTCATCACTTGTTTCTCTGTTGTTTCTGAGTGGAAAACATCTGTTTCAAATTAATGTTTGGCTCTCCTCCCCTCCAGAGCTGTCGTTAAACACAGCCAGCTTTGCCAAAAGCACGGCCATGCTGGGCAGCGCAGAGGACAACACTGCTCTGTCCCGAGCTCTCTCTCAGCTGGCCGAGGTGGAGGACAAGATGGAGCAGCTGCACCAAGAACAGGCTGCGAACGACACCTTCGGCTTTGCAGAACTGATCGCAGATTACATCCGCCTGCTCGGAGCCGTGAGGGTACTGAGAAAATCATTTCTAATGATATCTGGACATCTTAAGAAGCAATGAATCCTTAAATAGTTTAAAAATGACCCACAGTAATAAAAGTAACAGGAGCACTTTCACTTGTGGTGGATAAGATCCTCAGCTTCATGGCAAAAGTAAATAGCTAAATATAAACATGAAATGATCCTCTGTGTGTGTGTGTGTGTGACCTGCAGGGGTCGTTTGATCACCGGATGAAGGCGTGGCAGCGCTGGCAGGATGCTCAGACTGTGCTGCAGAAGAAAAGGGAGACTGAGGCCAAACTGCTGTGGGCCAACAAGCCCGACAAACTGCAGCTGGCCAAAGAGGAGATCGCTGAGGTACAACACAGGCCAAAGTCAACACAGTGAAAATAACTTGTGTGCTGGAGTTTGATGTGTGTTTTCTTTCTTCCAAGATTGAGAACAATGTTTGAGTCATGAATAATGAGCCTCTTGAAAAGCCTTCATATTGTTCCTGTATCATTGTGTTCGTCTTATCAGAAACAGGAAGCACGATCAAACAAATGGAGTTAAACTTGATTTTAATCACTTCAGTATTTTTCTATTAACTTAGTTTTTTTCTGGATACAGCAAAGCAAATAAATTAGATTTTACATTCTATTTTGCTGTGCTAAAGCAACATTCTTTTTGTCTCGGCAAGAAATTGAATACTTAAGTTTTTTCTGTTATGCTAAAGCGCCTTAATCTGTCTGACAAGGCTGCTTTTAACCATCAATATTTACAGATAAATACATCACCATAACCAAACAATACACCTGAAAGAAAAACAGTAATATTTACTCCTGTTTATATCAAACAGTGTTGCTGTTCTTACTCAAAATAGTAATGTTTCACATGTTACCGGTCTCGTTTCTTTTAAAAATGAGTAATGCATTACTTTATTTGATTATTCCTTCTGGAAAGTAATTTGTAACACTACTTATTGCATTACTATAACGGCCTCAAAAATGAAACTATCTCAACACATAAAAGAGGTCGCCCTTATAACAGAAAACTCAGATTTGCTACTCAAAATTTTTTTAATTTTTTGCCAGGATTGTAAAATAAGAAAAATGACTTTTGTATTAACTCAAGTTTCCCAGAAATGTTTTTAATCACATTTAAGAAAGCTGCTTTAGATAGTGGTCACACTGTGCTGTTTTGTTGGCTTTACTCCTCATGTTTGTGTCTGTGCTTGTATATTTTTAGGCGGTAATTTCTGTAAAGGTTATTCTACGTAATCCTCCCTAGATTAATGAGAAACTTAACGTAATGTAAATAGACGAAAAGCCCCATTTTTAAATGTGATTTTTAATGGTACAATCACTGATAAAGAATTTTTCCCCCTTTAGCAAACTGTATTTATTTTTCCTTTTTACTGACATTCCATTCAGGTCCGACCCACCTGTACTATACTCATGATATATGGAGGAGTTTGTGGGGCTGCAGAGTTAGTTAATGCTAATATGGGTCACCACCTCTTACAAATATTATTTGCCTTAAAATAATACATCACTAGGTCTAATCAAAGACTGGCCTTCCTCACACAATTACATGATGACAGTCTTAAAAAAAAAAAACATGTTTAAATGGGATATAAACTGCATTTAACGAGCCAAAACAAACTCAATCATGTCACTCACACACAAAACCACAGCTTTGTAGCAGATAAGTCCAGCAGCTTATTTTACATGTTTATCACTAAAGCAGTGGTTACACCTCATGAGAAGGAGATCATCAAATTGTTTGTCAGGCAAACTGTTCCTCCTCTGAGTCAGCACAAGACTGTCCAAGCTGAAGAGCCTCTGAACGGGCGCTCTGGACGGCAACGCTGTTTCTGGCACATTTCATGATTTTTCTCTAATTGTCCATTATGCAGATAATTGAACCTGTGGATTCCAAGAAACAGCGTTATTGTTTGATCCGTAACTGTAATGTGATTATTGAGATGACAACAGTAACTTGCTACATCAGTGTGTTACTGACAGATGTAATGTGATTACAGTAATGCGCAACAGTAACGAATGGATTGTAAAAATAAAAGAAAAAAAATATTCAAAGTTAGTCACATTTTTGGACTTTCAAAGTAAAGTTTGTGAGACATTAATTTGAGACGGTGAATCAGAAGTTCAGTCATTTTTATCTGACGTTCTTTGTGTGGCATATGAGATACTTGAACACCATTTTATCTCAATATCATAACTGATTTAAGAAAATACATTTTAGAGTTCCATTACTGACTTTCTCTGTTTCTATTTTTTTAGCATTGCTTATATTTCTTTTCTTTTAATATCCTGACATGAATGTGCCTCTGTACTGCGGGACTTTAAACGTTTCCTCTCTTCTTGTCACCAGTGGGAGGCCAAAGTGACGCAGTACGAGAGAGACTTTGAAAGAGTTTCTGCAACTGTGCGCAAGGAAGTCATCCGCTTTGAGGTGCTGATCCATCGTTTCATTGCATAAGTTACTGCACAGCTGAAAATGTTACTTATTACTAATTAATGTTTTTATTCTTAATTTAACCAAACAGAAAGAAAAAGCCAAGAACTGTAAACGAGAGATAATTAACTACTTGGAGTGTCTGCTTCAGTCTCAGCAGCAGGTGGGTGTCGACAGTGTCTCCCGTCAAACATCAATGTTTAACATTTCCATAATCGAATATTCGTCTTGTAAAACCAGTCAGTGTATGTATGTATGTGACTCTGATGTCACAAAATCATTTCCTATGTATATTTAAAGGGTTTGAAGTTGGTGATCTTATTTAGAAAGACTTCATCAGTGCAGCATTGCAATAAGTGTGAATTTTAATATATTCAAATGAAAAGTAACAAATGGAAAAGAGTGTAAATATAAATCATAGATATGGTGATGTGCAGTATTCCTGGGACCATTGAAGGATGATTTTTAGATGGAATATTTTAGGAAAAGAAAAAAAAAACAAGCTAACAAGCGAGGTATCAGTGATTTGGTTTCTTTTTACATGATGTCAGGAAAAGGAAATATTGTAGCGCATCTGTTATAGATCCTAAATATTAACCACTTCTTGTCTGTTAATGATAAATGACATTGTTGTCTCTGTTTTTCCGTAGCTCATAAAGTACTGGGAGGCTTTCTTACCAGAAGCAAAAGCAATCGCCTAATCCTCGAGCACCAGCCTTTTGGATGACAGAACAGGCTGCCTTCTTCTTATACACTTTACCTCTTGCCTTTAAACCAAGGAAAATGCGCGCATTGTAAAGGGAGATACAATCAACCTGTTTTTTTAATCACCTTTAACATATAGCTCTGTACTCTATTGTATTAATAATTGTATATTTTCATTTAACCTTCCACAAATATTTTCTTATTAGATGAAAAGAGTTTGCATATACAAAAGATATGGACACACGAAAAGAGAATAGATGAATGATTCCATTGATTTCCACAAGAGAAGGGAAATGAAGCGAGTTGTCGCTCTCAGGATTTTCTCCCTCGTGTGATCAGGAGCTCCTTCACATCAGCAGTGGTTAATTGTTTACAGCGCGGCTGCTCTCTCATCAAATATTTCTGGGGACCCAGATGAAGAAAGTGGCCAAGAGTCTCAGTCTATTTCTTCTTTTTAATGACTCAAAGGGATAAAAAAAAAAAATACAGTTAAATAACATTTATGAGCACTTCCACCAGGTGGATAAAGTACTTAAGTACCAGCCATGTTTTTTTGTTTTGTTTTTCTTTCAGATTGAAAATACTGTTGATGCTGAGGGGGGGATGCAGGGTGTTGAGAGGCATTAGATTAGCGGCGTCTACAGCTGTGGTCAAGGGTTGCATTGTAGGTCAAAGCTTGTGAGTTAAATATTTTAGATTTCAATCATAGTGCAAACTTTACTCTTATAACTACACATGTCTGTGCCTTTTAAGTCAGAATGGTGTTTTTGGTGTAACGTAGGTTTGGGAGAAAGTTGTACACAGTTGTGGGCAGCGCAGAGGCTTGTTAACAGTTACTTCCACAACAGCCATAATGATATAATGCTGTCAATGCTGAGGTTACAGAACAATTCTGCTGTCGTCATGTTTAGAGGAATATTTCACCACCCAAATGACCATCTGTAAACTTGCCCTGTGTTATGTTAACTTTGTTAGGGACACTTTGTTTTTGTTGCACGTCTCTGATGAACGAAGAATCCAACAACAGAAAAAGTTTTTGATGAATTGAGGTGTTAGGCCCTGATCACACAGAAAGCGTTTTTGCAGCTGGAGGCGGCTTTTTGTAATTGTTTTTAATGAGAGTGAATCTTTTTGCTTGCGGCTTTTGCCTTGCCACACACCTTGTGTTTCTGCGCTCTTGGCACCTGTCGTTTTTGCCAGAGCGATCGGAACTCAAATTGAAAAAACGTCATCTCTTTCTTTCATCATCTTTTCCCCTATTGTCCAATCAGATTATTTTAGAGGCGGGCCATCTGTGGTGGTCATGACAACAAGTTTACAGTGAGTAAACAATGGAGGAGAAACTGCTGGTAGTGGCTTTGAAGAGAGCAACGATAAGTTTCACTTTAAGTACTGGGCAAACAACTGGATAAATGAGACTTGCAAGAGTTGTTTTTACGGATATTTTGATATTAGATATTTCTTCAAAGTCAATGTCATGCAGGGTAAGTGATAAATATTCAGTTGGTCATTTGAGAGGTGAAATATTCCTTTAAGCCCATTTACTACAAATTAAGTGTTTTTCCTCTATATTCTTGCTTCTAACTGCAAAGATTTTTGTTTTGTTGTTTTCCAACTTCTCCAGACAGTCTTTGCATTGCATTAAAATCAGCCTGCACATACTCGTAGCAGGTAATCTTCACAGTGAACATCACGTCTGAGTCTGTTTATGTCAAAGTTGTTGCGTCATTGTTGTGGGGGATTGCTACAGTAAGTGTCATATGTTGACACTTTTTAAGGCATTACCCAGCAACAATGATTGACTTTGAGGAAAGCACAGTAAATGCTGACATGTCCGCTGTGAGGATTAGCTTTCTCAAGCAAGATTCAAGTCTCTGCAAGTGAACTTTGATGCTGCAGTAGTGAAATGAACACACACACAGAAACCAAAGGCTACCTGGAGGGGAGGATTCTGAGTCCTGCTCTGAGATAGGGTTGGCTGTAGTATTAGGGCTGAAGCTAACAATTATTTTTATTTTCCGTTATTCTTTCAGTTATTTTGGTGACCTCTTGAAATAGTTTTACCTGACTAGCAGATTTTTTTTTGTTTGTTTTTTTTTAAAGGTACCCTGTGGAGTTTTTGATCAGTGATAGTGTAACAGAACTGGTGTTTTTTCAGTTTGGTCCCAATTTTGGTTGGTATCTCACAGTGGTGATGCAAAACGCAGTCCTGCTGATGGCTTTCTGCTTTTCTACTGATCAACACTTGGTGGCAGTGACATGCCAAGAAACAGCAATGTGCCAACAAAGACAAGAAATAAGAATTAGACTGCTAGGTAGTAAACAAGGATACAAGCAATATACGTTTGAGATTCTTCCAAAAAAATTGTTTTACACCATGCATTCAACACATTTGTTAGACCTCTAAGATATACAGTCTACTAATCGGTGAATGTAAACAGTACTGTTACCAAAAAAAATCACAGGGTACCTTTTATTTTCTGATGATAAAAATCTTTAAAAAAATCCTGACATTTGATAAAGTGGAAGCAGTTGGGCAGTTTTTGCATGATATTGTGAGTGATTATCAGATTTACCTGTCTCTGGAACAGTTAATGATTTCATGATATAATAGTGTGTGTGATTTCTAGTAAATGGGCAACAACATGCAAAAAAGGCTTGTTACTGACTCGTAGACATGAGGTTAATGTCAAATACTAAAAGTACTGATGTCATATTGAACCTAATGCTTCCCTGAAGCCTCAGTCTGCAGTTTGACAAGTTTAGTTTTAACATCAAACGGTTGAAAACCTGTGTCACATGTGGCACTGCTACCATCGTTCGACTACAGCTTTAATTTCACATTTGCACAAACTTAAAATTAAGCCGCATAGTGACGAGTTTCACTGTATCATTTTTTGTCATCTCTTGACTTGCAGGCATTTCTTTGCACAGTTTTTTTTTTCCTTTTTTGACAATTAGATGCACGCTTGTTTTCAACTGTTGTTTGACAGCACTCAAATAAAACTGGTTGTTAGTGTGGCCTAAAACTGTATGTCATCACTTGTCAGTGTGCAGAGCAACGTCAGCACTGTGTCATAGAAATTTCTTTTAAAATAAATCAATAAAAGTTGCACTGTTTACACTTGGAATTTGATTAAGAACGTCAGACTTCAGTGTCTTATTTCTCGATGTGGGTTTTTTTCATTTAGCACCTTTTGTGTTGAATTATATCAATAGTCAGATAACAAAACATGTCATAGCAAAGTGTCTCAGAAAACTGAGAATACAGTAAACTTTACATTGATGGAAGAAAAGTAGCATAATAAATGTCATAGTATAGTATGCCTCAACATGATACAAAAAACGTCATAGTATAGTATGGCGTCAAAATGGTGTAAAAAAAACGTCATAGTAGTATTGCATCAAAATGGCATAAAGATCGTCATAGTATAGTATGGCATCAAAATGATGTAAAAATCATCATAGTATAGTATGGCATGAAAATGGCATTAAAAATTGTCATAGTATAGTATGGCATCAAAATGGCACAAAAAACGTCATAGTATAGTATGGTATCAAAA